GGGCAGAGTGCAGAAGGAAAAGAGGTGCTGAGGTTGAGGGGGGCGCTGAGAAATGGAGGCACCCTGGAACAACACACACACACACACACACACACACGACCAGGAAAGCTGGGGAGATGCCCAGGCAGCCAACTGGCAATTTCCCCTCCTTGCTTCAGAAACCCCCCAGCAAGAAGGAGGATGGGGGGGGGGTAGGGCGGGCAGAGGTAGGGCGGGCAGAGTGCAGAAGGAAAAGAGGTGCTGAGGTTGAGGGGGGCGCTGAGAAATGGAGGCACCCTGGAACAGGCCCACAAAGCTAAAGGGGCAGGAAGCTGCCCGGATTTGGTGGCTGGGGAGCTGCTCCTGAGCCCCACTTGGTCCGGGGCTCTACTTCTTCCTGCCCCAACATCCTCGCAGCACAGACCAGGCGAAAGGGAGCACACGTGAGGGTGTGGCAGGCCCAGCTCAGGCCCCATCACTGCTGGATTTCACTCTACACCCTGCCTAGCCTGGCTTGCCCTGGACTTTCCACCGGACAGAAAGGAGCTCAAGATGGCCTCACCTAACCCACGCTCCACCCACCTGGGGTCCTTGAGGAGGAATGGCAAGAAAGTCTGGGAGGTGGGCCTTTCTCTCCTCAGTTGGGCCACCCTGAGCTCCTGGGCAGCCCTGGAAGCTTCTAACGCCCCTCAAAGCACTTGCTCCGGGGAGGTGGCCTCCCTCTCTGACTCTTTGAGGCCCGCTCTCTATTTCCTCTGTCCCCTTGACCCTGGGAACCAAGGACGGTGGTGGGCCTCTGGGGGGGGGGGGTCACCATTCTACTCCTCTAGGCACCCAGGCCCCTCCCCCACTTCCTGTATCCCAAATGACCTCACGGTTGTGCGTTGTGCGTTGGGGGCACCTCCCTTGATTCCTAGGGCAGGAAGCAGGAGGAGGGGGCAGAGGGTGGCCTGGGCTGGGGGACTGAAGTGAAGTGGGGTGTCAGGCCCAGCACCAGGGAATTGCCCGGCGCCTGTGTGGGGAGAGGCAGGAGCAGAGCTGGAGCTAAGTCCTTAAGCTCTTTAGCCAGTGTCTCATCTAGCAGCTCAGCTCATCCGGC